AATGTACAGCTTTAAAAGAAGATTCAATTAAAAAATTAAATTTCATGTATTTTAATTTTTCTGATGAACTACATTGAGTTTTATACACTGCTGATGAATAATAAATAAAAATTTTAATGTTAATTTTGGTCGGAATTATTATAAATTTGCTCAAAAATTATGAAAAAAAAAGCATAAAAGCATAATTCTAGAAAAAAAAAAGCATCAGGGCATAATTTGGAAGAAAAAAAAGCATAATTTGTAAAAAAAAAAAAGCATAATCCTGGACACCCTACACTCTACCCTTAATCAATTGAAAATAATAATTATTAATAAATTACATTATTAATTAATTGGAATAATTACACGATCGATAAATTCTTGAGATATATTTTGAGAATTGTTGAATCTTTTAATCGCAATCTTGATTGGTCCATTTCTTATATAACAGTCCATGGTTTTTTCCCATAATAAAATAGGCCCATCGATCCAATATGCTGAATAAATTGTACTATATAATCCTGCGTCTTCATACTCGATAAGATCCAATTCCGACCACCCTATCCATTCGAAAAATTCTACTTGAGCCATTGCTTTGATTTGTGTATACTTTATAAATCTATCTATTTCGACATCCTTACTTGTCCATTGGCCGAATTGTCGTATAAAATATTGTTTTTCACAACTTATACAAAACTTGTACTTGATGTCACGACTACCGCACTCTGAACAAAATTTTTTTATTTTATTTGTAGTAGAACCCTCTTTTTTTCCTTTAATTATTACATCTTCAGGGCTGTTGGCTTCTCCCCGAAGAATAAGATGATCATCTGTCATTTATTTATAATCCGCTTATATTATTGAATAAATAAAAAAAATCTTGGGTTTTTTTATTTATCCGATTTGATAATTCGCGAAAGACTTACTCATTATATACTCGAGATGTTGGTTGGGACCGGGGCTGGCAGCGTAAAGGGTTAAAAACCTAATTTAATAATAATCATCTTGACTAAACTTGATATTAACATTAAAATTAAACTGTGACGAAATCAAATAATGATTTTAAACTGATCGATTTGAAATTTTTTGCTATCATGTACACAAAGCGCGTAGTAGATGATTGCTTAATACTAAATACCAGTTTTTTAGCCGGTTAAATGATAACAAAATACTTTAACCGGTTAAGGTTAACTTGTTTCATTTGATTGTTTTTTAATTATCAAGCTAACCTAGTTAAGTTAACTTGTTTCATTTGATGGCTTTTTAATTATCAAGCTAACCTAATTAAATTAATTAAGGGCTGTGAAATGACATTGTACGCAAAAAATTGGAAGAGCGGTTTTTTTTTCTTCATAACCGAAAAAATCTATTATAGTCAACGAACTTTAAAAATAGGATCGGGTTATCAAAATTCGGATTATGAAAAACGATTTTTTATTATTATTAATAGTTTAAATAAAACGTATAAAATAATAAAATTTATTTGTGAAAGATTTGGAGTAAACCGAATTTCATCATTATAAGACGAATTTTAATTATGTTCTACCAAACAAACAAAAGAGATTATTGGCACCGTTAACCGTTTAACCCATCACTATTAGCGTTACAAATTTTTTTTGTTCATCTAACCAGAATACACATTGGGCAAACCTTTGAAGGGTAATTGAAAAGGTTTTTATCGCTAGATCAATTTTTAATTTTTCTTTTGGGTGGGGACTCGTAATTTAATTCGAATTTATTCTGTTTATTCGAATTATTCGTTTTATCAGTTATTATTATTATTATTGTCATTTTATTTGTACAACCCAACCTTAATTCTAGTTTATTCGTTTTATTCGAATGAAACAAATAGCCCTTATGATAACTATTGGCTAGTGAAAAAAAATTTTTTTAAATTACTATTATTATTGTTTGTCGCAATAACATCATTCGTATGATCTTTTATTCTAAAACAAATGCTATTTTAACTACAAAGAAAAAAAATTACTACAACTATTATTAATTGACTAAGGAAAAAATATCAATTACCTCTGCTGCTACCATCATTATCATCACTACAAGGACTACGAAGGATAAATAGAGCTGATAAAGAAAAAAATTTTTGATTGGATTATTGTATAGTATTATTATTATTGGTTATTATTATTATTATATTATTCGTTTTATTCGAATTTACCAGTTATAAAATTTCACATGATCAAATTAACAAATTAATAAAAGTTAACATGTTAAAGAATTTTTGCTTTGCACATGCCAACCACTAATTAAAAATTAAAGATAAAAATATTTCTACAGGATTCAATCCTGTAGAAATATTTTTTTTTGTCTTTCTTTTTACGATTAATCGCCAACTATCCATCCACCCAACTGTCGAGTATTCCCAACAACCGAATCCCTACACCCAATCCAGCAATCAACCAGCAAAAATTTACTCAGTATGATGGCTAGTTTCGAAATTAATTTCGATGATTACAACATTTCGATTAAAATTTTCAAAATTTAAATTGAATTGAAAATCGAATCCCGATTCGATTAAAAAAAAAATATTATGTCAAGCAATTTTGATTCTTATTTGCCAAATCCTAAGAATGCCAGAAGATCTCCTGACATTGTTTGGGCAGAAAGATATCCCACTACATTATTATTATTTATTTTTAAAATTTTGGGTGGGGTGTTTAGATGTGAAATGAAATATATGGTATATGATGTTATAAATAATTTATTATTATTTTATAGATATACTGAATAAGAAGAAAAGAAATCAACAATAATGTTTCAATTAAAAGACTTTTAGAAGAACTTTGGATGAATTAAAGATTTATTTTCCTGATGCAATTGTATTATTATGTTTTTCACTTATTCACAGATCATCAATTAAAATCTTCAAGCAAATACTAATGAAGATAAAGAAATGAATGTATATTCTTTAGTAGACATTTTTATATGGTAATTTATTTAGGTTTTTAAAAATTTAATTGAATTGAAGATGTAGAAGATATATGAAGAAATAAATATTCAATTATAATTAATCGATTTTTAATAAAATTGATATAATATGTGTAAAGAATCAATCAATTCATCCTTTTTATTTAAAAAAAATTTTTTTTTTGATCTAAACGACAATATCTTGATTCATTAGATCAAGTTTTTCATTATTATTATTAAATTTTTGATCTAATGTATGTAAAGAATCAAGATTGAATCTGAAATATTTAGGCATTTGCCGAAATATTTTGAAATGCTGAAATTCGAAATTATTTGGTAAATGTCAGTCTATAAAAAAAATTCTACTTATTATCTTTTATTGTTATACATTTACTTACACACCTTCTGCCCTATTACTATAAAAAATTATTGATGGAAAATGTATGGAAAAATGTATGGATCTTCCAGTGAAAAGGTACGGGACGCATACAGGTTAGATACGGATGCATACGGAATACATATTCATTTTCCATATGAATTATGCAATGTGTTAATATTAAATTACATACTAGTGTGAGAAAGATGAATTCTGTATTATAGTATGTTTTCCATAAATTCTAATCCAATATGCATCCTGTGTGCATTGTACTTTTTTTTGCATTTTCACTGGAAGATTCCGTATGTTTTCTGTAAATCCCGTGTGTATTTCATATCATATATTAGTATGCATCCTGGATCTACCCCATACTTTTTTTGGCATTAGTATGCTTTCCATAAATCCCATGTGTATTAAATATAATTTTTGATTTAATGCATGTAAAAGAATCAAGATATTGTTATTATAGTAACAAACTTGATCTGATGCAATGTTTTGGCTTGTTATTTTTAATTAGGAACGTCATGGTAGATTTTAACTATATTATTACTAATAGATTTTAATCTTTAACTATCTTTATTATTAAAATCAATTCAAAATCCGTGATTTTTTTTTTGATCTTTTTGTTTGCATCCCTACATACAGTCAAAGCTCTCTATAACGAACCCCCTGGACCGAGAATTTTGGTTCGTTATAGAGGGCGTTCAATATAAAGAATTGTCGATCATCTCATTTATGGTCACGTGAACATATTATAAATAATTTATTGGCTACGAGTCATTAAGCTTCGCATTCATTCATAAAATAAAAACAATCCTTTTTGAAAATAAAATAGAAAAATTAAATTTTATTCATATAATTATCAATTTTTAATTGTTCTTTTGAATTAAATATATTTTTGACTTTTCATTATCAGTTAATTGTGACTTGTCTGTTTGTTGTTCAAAGTATAATTTGATTTTTTCTATCAACAACAAAGCATTTTTATGTAATACAGGTGAAGTAGAAAGAATTATTTCAGACATATTATTATTAGTATCATTATTATCACTATTATTATTAGGAAACAATGTTGAAACAATTCTTCATTGACAAAAGTGATGTGTATGTGTAAATAATCAATTAGCAAACATATAATTTGTTGGCCAGTCTTGTCTCTGTCAATAATAACAACAATAACAAATAATAATAGTAAAGAAGAAGAATAAATTTTTTAAAATTTTTTTTTCAATAATAAATAAGTTTATGTTGCACAGGTTCATTATAGAGAGCATTATTTATTATATAAATTTGTATTTCTGTCAATCTTATTGCTTCTTCTCCACCAATAACTGGATTAATAGACAAAGAAGCTTTCTCCCTTCTTTTTGCTCAGGTCACTGTCAATTTTTCTGCAGTAATTACATGATTAAATGAAGTGGGGCCTGAAAGTTGAAGTCTAGATTCTCATAAAGAGTCACACATATTGGGATGGTTTCTAATATCAAATCTATTAAACATTCCCTCAAGATGCTGTTGATGAACTATTATTGACCAGATACAATGTCTAACGAAATCATATATCAATGGAAATTCTTTTAATTAAATATAATTAGCTTTTGAAAATGCAACAAATTGCTCTCTAAAGTTATTTTTTTCCAATGTTTCAAATAACCCAAATGAATTACTTTTATCTTTTAAATTCTCATTTAATCTTTCTATATATTGTTTTACTATTATAGGTTGTTCATCAGGAAGAGGGTGAGAAAGTATTACATGAAGAACAGCTTGTGCAAATTTAGGGCCATGCTCTCCTCCAAGACTACATATGCAAAGTGGAAATTTAGTCCAGGTAATCATCCACTTTTTGAAAACATTCAAAGTTTTTTCAATCCCTATTTGCATTCTTTGAGCCAGATCCAGTGATTCCTGTTCATTCAAATGATCATAAGCTGCCAATAACTCATCCATGAAAATTTCTTCAGGTGCCTGCATAACATTCTCTAATTCACTAATCCAGGTTTGGACCATGTCAGGGTAAATAGAGTTAGTATCAGAACCAATTAAAAAATATATTATTTTTCATAGAACCACTCTCCAAATTTTACCATTATTAAAACTCCTGTATTTAAATTTTCACTTTGTAGGAATTCCAAAAATGTCTTCCATTTATGTAAATATCCCTCAGGCACATTCCTTGAGCCTTCTAATTTTTCTACAAACCAATTAGTGAATGTAAGGTGAAGCTCACAATGTTCCAAGTATTGCTTTGCTGTAGTTAACTGATATAACCAACAGCTTGTAATTGGCTTTTGATATTTTTTGAGGTCTACATTTAGTAATGCTTTATACATTTTACTAATGGTTTCATTTTTCATGTTCAATGGGTTATCTTTATTAGATTCATTGTACCCACTATGAAGGTGATATGCAAGGTTAATAACATTGAATGGATGTGGATTCAAGGAAAGACCTGAAGGGGAACTGATCTTCCCAGAAACAGCATTGTCAAATGTTGTTGCTGCAATATGAACAACATGTAGGCCACATGGAATTCTAATTGCATTTATTCCACATCTTTGATTGAAATTTACAACAGCACCACCCTTGGATCCTGACATATAACTAGCCAGTGTATAGTTGTTACCTCTCTAAATTGGAGATCAAGTTCGGATCAAATTCAAATCCAGTTTATCACTTACTTTTTATTGCCAGAATGTTTGCCGTGTATTGTAAAGCTACGTTGCACAATATAAAAAATTAATGTAACATTTCAAATTTCCACTATGCTTTTCCGATTAGGAAAGTTTCTAAAAATATGATCCCCATAATTTTGGATATGTTCTATATATGAAAAAATTTGTTACACGAAATTTACTTAGTCTCAATTTTTTTACAATTTTATTAATAAAAAAAAAAGCCTTGGTGGTTTGAAGTTGCATATTTTTTTGGTCTTTATGGTTCAAGTCATCTACAGTCGGCGCTCGATATAAGAAAGAATTGGTTTTGACGAAAAACTTCACTGTTCATTATATAAAAAGATCGGCAAAATTTTTACAAAAAATCCCGTGATATGACTTTATTTTTTACTAAATTTAATTATTTTTTTTTGCGACACATTGCTAAATTCAATACTTTATTTTTCGTGACACATTACTAAAACTCATTTTTCTAAATTTAATTCTTCAATTTCATGCATGTATGATACTTTTTAAAAAAAATTTTTTGCGACAAATTACTAAATTCATATTACAATTAATTCGTGATACGTGAAACAACTGCAATAATTTCACGATAGAATTTGGCGCAAATTTTCCGGAACCCATACTTCATTCCTAAAAAACTACTATTTATACGAATTTATAAATTGTATTTGCAAATGTAATAAATAATAAAAAACCCAAAATTTAAATATACAAATTTTCAAAGGGACTTTCTTATAAAATATTTTATCTTTATATGGAGGGACCGCTAGATTCTTGCCTAAAATTGCTATATAAAACTTAAGATTCAAGTTTTTATTTAAAAAAAAAAAATATATATATAAATAGGCGTTTGTATTTAGTTTTATTTAAAAAAAAAAAAAGAAATATAAATAGATGTTTGGTTACTTTGAAAAGTTTAGATTTTAAATTTTTATGTCGCGCGTAATCATGCTTAATCACGTGAGGGACAGTCATATTCCAAAAATTATATGATTATTATTATATCGAAAGTTTATACTATATCGAGCAAAATTTATATGTAATGAAATGGAAAATTATAGTAGGTTCACTATATTGAGCGCTGGCTGTATAAAATGTCACACCGAAATTTAGAAATTTTAGAAGATCTTTCTAATTAATCAGAAGTCTTTTATTGGAAAGATTTCCTGTATCATGAAAAATTTAAGACGATCATCGGCCTTTTAGGAAATCACAAGGGAAAATCATTCCGAAATTTTACAATTTACATATAGACATATATAAAATGGCCTAACTTTGAAGCCTTATTAACTCAAAACTTTTTTAATAAAAAGAAAAAAGTAAACCAATGAAACGAAGCTTAAGTCTTTGGCTTTATTCTATAGGTTTTCTTTTTTCTTTTTTAAATAAGGGGTTATAAGTTTTTAAAGTCATGTGATAATCATTGACCATTATAGATGTCCTGCACTATAGATAAACTGCACCATAAAGATTGAAAATAAATTTAACAATTTTTATAATATTTGAAAAAACGTTCTTCGTTCTTAATTCCTCCCCATCAAAAATACCCACAAACTATATATTTTGTGAAGCTCTCGATGTATTCTATCTTATCATGCTAAAATGATCTTAATAAAGCTATTTCACGAAAAGAACGGTGTTTTCAAAGTCAAAAGTTATGAACTTTTTTTGAGAAGCCGCTGTTACACACAAAAAAAGTCATTGACAAATAAAAATTCATATTTGAAGAGAAAGGCGCAAGATTGTGTTTGCTTAAAGCATAAAAAAAATTATTTAATTATAATGTTTACATTTTATTTCTTTCTTTACGTGCCGATCATACGATAACAATCAATTAGTGGTGTCGTTTAGCTGTTATCGTATGATTTTATTATTTACAGAATTTCTTATTGTTACCTTTATTACATCATAATTCTAAATATGTAAAAAAAACGCGAATATTTTCTATTTGATTAATATTAGTGGTAAAAAAAAATCATACCATGATATGAGCTGATCTTTAATATCAACAGAATTAAAAATTTATCGTATGATCTTTTTTTGGTGAAAATATTTATCCATTATACTAAAATTTCATTATATTATCAATTGTTGTATATTATTTTTTTAAAAAAAAAAAACTTTTTAAATAATTAAGGTGACGCGCGCCTTTTAATTAACTTAATTTTACCGTTACGGCAAGTTATTCTTCTGGTATTTTAAGCTGTCCAACAATAATTGCCATTTACTTTAACCATAAATATTTGTCATAATTCAGTTCATTATTACTATTATTATTACCATTATTGCTACCATTGCTATTACCATTGCTATTATTACTATTACGTGTTTAATAATTTATCATATGATGGTGGTGTGTAAAAAAAATATTCTTGTACAATTTAATTTTTCACTCAAAAAAAATATTTAAATAACTAATAATTTTTTTTTTTATTTTAATCATAGAAATGATTTTTTTTTTTTTTTATTTTTTTAATTATTGATTTTTTTTAATTAATTTTTTTAAAATGAACTTCAGTTTTTCATCAGAGTCGGTTACACAAACGCACGCATTCAATAATGATAGTATCACAAGTAGTAATAATGACTACAATATCATTGCACAATCACCTTCGTCATTTTCCTCTTCGCCGCCATCATTAAATAATTTTAATAATAATAATAATTACAATACATTTTCAGAATTTATTGATTATAATAATTATAACAAGGAACTATTTACAGTATCAATTGATGCATTAGCTAAAGCGGCTGCCATTACCAAAAAATCAATAAACAAAAAAAACAGAAAATTACCAACATCAGAGGTTGTAAAACAATTCGCCTTTGCATCATTGCCCGATGATATAATGGTAAACAACAATAATTTCCGCATAAAATCTTTAACTTCAAATAATAAAAATAACGACACTAATAGCAGCATAATGAATAATAATAATTGGAATAATATATCACCAAAGGCAAATTTCACAAATCAAATTATTACACAAACAAATATAAATCAAAGAATAAAAATATTTTTAAGTTATTATCCTCCTCGCTTTCTAGCGTTGTTTCTACTGGGATCGTTGGCTTCGTTTGTGGTTGATCATTTATTAACACAAAATAACATTACACAATATCCAAAAGATATAGCAAAATTAATTGATACAGCAGCATGGATTCCACTAACTTGTGGCTTCTCAGCAGTTCTAGTCGGTTCATTATTTCCACTGGCTGATTATTTATTCATGTATAAACCAAATGAATTCCAAAGAGAATGGAGCAATGTAATGAGATGTATAGGAGGTTTCATCGGAGTTGCATATGCAGCCACAGTAAGTGTAAGAAGAAATTAAAAATCATATTTATAATAAAATAATCTTTAATTATTATTACTAACATTTATATTGATTTATAATTTAATTTAGAAATTACCTTGGAGTAGTAACTATCAAGTTTCTTGTACGTTAGCTTTAATTTCCATAGTTTTATGGTTCTTATTTGATAGAACAAAGCATGGATTTATCATGTCGACGTTATTCTCATCGATAGGAACAATTGTAATGTATATATTAGTGTCAAATGGAATTTACAGGTGATTATTATTGTCAGGGTCATTGTTTGTTTGGGAAAAATATAAGAAAAAGATATTGTCTCTTTCTTCATATACCTTTTTTTAAATTTCTTCCTTCTTTCATCCTAATTTTATAGCTTTACTCATGCTGATTTCTTTGGTGTAAGATCTTGGATTCCGGTATGTGATATTATTTGATATCATATTTTAATATTTATTATATTATATTTTTAAATAATAATTATTCTTTTTATTGTTCTTAGTGTATTCTTTATTCGTCTTGTGTTTGTTTTGGTGCAGTTGGAAGACAATTAATGATTGTCCCAGAGGAATGGTTTGAGGATGATGATGTTAATACTATAAGTAATACTTTTAGTAATAGCATTAATAATACTGTAAATAATAATATTAGAAATAATAATAATAAAACAGATTTGATACCAAATAAGGATTGAAAATTTTAAAATTTTTGTAGATAAACTAATTTTTCTTACATTTATTTTGTAAGATAATAATAATGATAGAGAAACAAAAAAAACAATATATTTTATAAAATAAAAATTTGATTTGAATATGATAAAAATTATGATTCTAGTAGTATTAAAAGAAAATATTAAATCAATACAAAATAGTAATAATATTTTATTAATTATATTCGTTATGATTAAAATAAATAGTTATAAAGAAAAAATAAATTAATCAATTAGTGGAAATAGTAATTAGTACAATTAATAATTAAATAATTAAATAATTAATGATAGTAATAATTTATTGATATATTTATAGTGAAGTTATAATGTTAAATAAAAAAAATATACAAAAAAAAAATAATACAATTTCATTTTTTTTTAATTTTTTATTAAAGATTAATCAGATTTTTTGGTATTTGGTGGATTCTCTGATGATATATCATCTTCATCGCTATAAAAAAAAAAACAATAAATATTAATTATGATTTATTTATTATAAATATAAAAAATATTTTTTATAATAATTTTTATAATTACTCTTCGACATCACTTCTTGAATCTTCAGCGTTTTTTCCTTTAATGACTCTCCAGGCAACCTTTAAAATAAGATTAAACCAATAAATCATCAGGATTTGTAATAACACTAAACCAAGCAATATAATATATTTAGACCACCACGTCAGCCAATAACCATTCAATGGATCCCAAATACATGCATTATACTCTGGTTGACATGATTCCTGGTATGTCGCCCAAGTTATGTATCCATATAAATAATGTCTAGTATATGCCCAAGTTATCATAAAAAATCCAAACATCGAATCTGTCATAATATTTGGTGCTGCCAAATACTTTAGACATTTTGCAAACTGTTTATTATGAGATTAATTGAGCGAAATATATATATTGTTAAATTTATTCAAGCAAATAAACAATCAAAGTCAATCGAAAAGATTCAGCAACTTACCGCCAACCAAATATCAGAAAAGTCCATTGAAATAAACACCGCATTCCCAATCCTCGTAAAGTTGAACAAATAACTTCCACCAATCAATAGACATGTTATGATATGATGCGCTATAAATTCCAAAAAATCTTTACGAGGTTTTTCCAATTGTAATAAAAGTACAAAAATTTGTTGCAACCAAAAAGCAAACTGTATTAAATAATAAGATTTAACTAATCCTGTCATTGCATAATGTGGATAATCAATCCAAAAATATTTTGTATTAAAATACCAATATGAACTATTATACATTATATTCTATATTACACATGTATGTATGCGCGTGTATGAAAAAAATAAATAAATCATTAGATTAACAATCAATAATCCACAATACGAATGTATATGTATATATATAACTTACCAATCCAACAGACGAGGATATTGTACAATAAATTACAACATATCCTTGTTCCATAAATCTTGTAATCTCTCTTTTATTCTTAATCTTGCCGAATATTGCCAACGGTCTCAAAATGTATTGCATGGTGAATTCCCTGATAAATGTAAATGCTACCAGCCAAAAAAAAATAAACCCGAGATCCCAATATCCTTTAATATAAAGGATTTCATCAGATGTTTTAATGTGTATTGGATATGAGATAAATAAAAGTCTATGGAATGGATTTTTCGGTGATGGATTTAATAAATAACATAATATCACTGTTCCTATTATTTTCAATGGTAGTTCTATTCAAAAAGAACGTGTAAGAAAAAATTTTTTTAAAAAAAAGACAAAAATTTAGTAAAGAAAAAGTAAACATGTATTATTTCCTTTCTTTCTGAATCAATCAATCAATCAATAATAACTTACCAATTTGTCTTTCAATAACAAATTTTGCAAATCTTGAACATGCCGTAGACTTTTTTGCTGTAGGAAATACTTCCAAAGTTTTCTCATTGTAGATTAATTTAGATTTATGAGCAAGATCATTCATATTATCATAATCATCATTATTATTACTATTACTGTTATTATTATTACTGTTGTCAGTTTCTTTTGCCATTTTTTTCTTCCTTTTTATCTTCCTTTTCTTCTAATATTCAAATAATAATTCTAATATATATATATATATATATAATATTTAAATTCTAATTTTTAAATTGCTAAGCAAAATTGTATAAACCACAATGACGACAAAAAAATTAATAAAAAATTAATTTATTTATTTTTATTTAATAAATAAAATATTATATACACCATAGATTAAAAAAAAAAACAATGCACGAAAAAAATTTTATAATCTATCAATAAATTAATTAATGATGATGATTTTTTTTTTACACATAAAAATCTTTAATCGTCAATAAGTGTCTTTTTTGATGTTGTTTTTAGAATCAAAAAATCAAAAAAGCCAATCAATCCGTGTAACTATAGCAATATCGTGTTTTTTTTGTTTTTTTTATTATATAAATTTTTTTGGGGCAAAAAAAATCTTTTATATATATATATATACAATAAGGGAATAATAATTAGTATAACCAGCGTTATTATTATAATATTTTATTATTACCATTAAATATTTTATGTCATCTATTAAAAATACAATTTTTAGAAAATATATAAAAGAAAAAAAACAAAGAAAAATTATTTCTAACAATTAATCAATTAATCAATCAATTTAATATCATTCAAAAAAAAATTTTTTATCTATATATAACATTCAAAAAAACCCCCGAAAAAATATCTGAAATTTAGTAGATTTTATAATAAAAAATCAAATGGATCTCGAGATTTTTGTTGATTAGATATTGAAGTCGCATTATTATTATTATTACCATTACTAATATTACTACTAGTATTATTACTGATATTGTTGTTGGACCAAGTACCTTTGACTGACCAATCAGATTGGGTGAGAGAATTCATTGATGGCTTTTCGATTGGTTTATTGTTTTTCTCTTTGCCTAAAGAATCCAAACTAACAAGATTTGATGCTATTGCCCATATATCATCGTTGCCATTTTTTTTGGAACCAATTGATGTTTGTTGTTGATTTTGTAATGTTGTTGCTGATGCAGGTTTAGCGAAATTTGAAGAACTTGATATAATAATATTATTAATATTATTATTATTGTTGTTGAGGTTATTAGTATTAGTATTAGTATTTTGTGAAATTGAAATTGGAGAAACTGGTCCAATTAAATCATCAAACAAATTATTATTATTACTATTATTATTATTATTATTATTATTATTATTATTATTATTATTATTATTATTATTATTATTATTATTAGCGTTGTAATTATTGTTATTATTGTTTCTTAAAGAAAGTGATGATATTGATGATCTAGTACTAGTAGTGGCAGTATTAGCGGAAAAAAGTGGCAGAGGCGCACTTTGAAAGTCTTGAAAGTCATCTTATGGATATACGTAATGTTATGTAAATATTATGTAAATAAAGGGTTAATACAATACAAATACGTAAAATTCATCCACATATATCCATTTATACACTATAATTTTCACTTACCAAATGTAGTAGATTGCAATTTACCAAAGTCATTTGCATTATTATTTGCACTACTAGTATTATTAGAATTGGTGGATAAAATATCATCTAAATCAACCAAATTTGTTTCTTTAACTTTCGTAGATGATGATGACGATGCTGTTGTTGCTGACACCAATTTATCATCAAATTTATCGTCCTTAACATTTTTATGATTTAATGAATTGGTAGTAGTTGTTGATGTCCTCGTATAACCAAAATCATTCCTAGTCCCAGCACTAGACCTCCTATCATGAATTGATGAAGAATTTCTTTCCGATCTTTCACTGAACGCTTGTGAGCTTGAATCGTTATATCTAGAATATGATTGATCATCGTCTTGATCTCTAAATCCGCCTATTCATTCATATATATAATTTTTTAGGCAAATTCACACAAATTATCCTTAATTAAACAGTAGTAGAGTAGTAAGAAGCAATAGCAATACTCACGAGATCCACCAGATGAATCACTACCAAATCCTCGATACTGACTTGCGCTACCAAAACTAAGTGATTCGGAACTAACGCCTGTATATTTCGTTCTATTGGCTCTAGCCTTTTTCCTTTCCATTTTAATTCTATCGGTATCACTTAACAACTCGGTAAGTTCTTTTGCTCGGTTACGAACTATAAATTATTTTATTATCATTTGTTAATGTTGTTGCCGTATAATTAAATTAATAAAACTATATAATATATCCTTACCATTAATTCCTTGATCTTTTCCTTTTTCGTCAATATACGAAAAATTCTTCATAATCTTGAGAAGGGCCATATGTGCTCTTGCATCATCTACAACTCTATCTGAACCATGCTTCACCAAATATTCTAATAATTGAAGTGCCTAATAAAAAAATTAATATATTAGAAAAAATATTTGTTAATTAAAATAATAATAATGATAATAATAATAATAATAATAATAATAATAATAATAATAATAATAATAAAAATAATTGCTTGTCTTACTTTATAAATTTGTCTCCAATACCTTGCTTCTTTTTCGGTAAATCTTTTGTAAATTGTTGTCATTACTTCATTGAAATGTTGACTATTAATTTTTTTTAAAAAAAACTTATTAACATCAAAAAAAAATAATTTTTATAATCTAAAAAAAAAGATTCAACTTACTAGTTATAAGTTGCTTGTGCAATCTCAGACATTGAAGTAGTGCTGGCACCCCAAGGTTCATTGTTAGTTGCTTCGTGTACTTTAGCTTCCATTTCTGTATAATTCATTACTACATTTTTACTAAAAAAAAAAAAATAACATCTAAAGCATTAAAACAAAAGTTATAAGAATAAAAAAATCTTCAAAAAAAATTATTTAACAGACGTACACTTTATTAAAGGCATCTTTAACATCCCAAAAGGTTATATTACCAAGTTGCTCCATCTTTGAAATTTATTATTTTTTTACTGAAAAATATAAATACAAACTTGTGTAACACACATTCATTCAATTTAAAAAAATCCCTTCTTTACATTTATTAATAATATTTATCATTGATCTTTTTATTAATAATATTCTTTAGATTATTACAATAAATTTTCTCTTTCAATATTTTGTTCAATTTATTTGGGTAGTCTACAATAATAATTTTAGATTTTTGAGTAGATATTGTCTTGTATCTTTCTATTCATTTTATTGAATTAACTACTTTTTCTACTGACTGAGACTTCCCTGCACTACATCAAGAAAACTAGTAGCCTATAGTAGTAATACCAATCATAGTAAATTCACATATATATTAATATGTGTACTATAATTTGTTATATGGGGGCATACTGCAACAAAACCAAAGTGAACATTGGTGTTACCAAGGATTTCAGGGATCAAAATTAAGTTGGTCACTCTATAAGTCAGTTTACTCAATAAGTCGGCCAAAATTTTCACACGATTTTATTAATATCTAAGTAATTTAATTTGATAAGTTGGTTTACTCAATAAGTTGGTAATGTGAGCTCACCCCCACATGATCAACTTATCAAGTTTACATATGTAGCAGTTTTATAATGTCCTGTTTTTGTTACCTTTCCTGTTTCTCAAGTGATATATAGTACTACTCCTATATAAAAATAGTTAATATGAAACTCATTTACATCAGATCTACTATGGAACCCA